TTACAAAAAAACTGAACTTATGTATTCAGAAAAAATATATCCAGCCTCTACGTTTACCTTGGCCTACGATTGAAGCACCGGATACCTAAACCGGATATTATAAACCTCTTACTCCTCTCCCCATTTGTTGGTTACATCTTTCTTAATCTTTACATTCATCTTTCCAAATTCACATGACTTCTTTCTATCGTAATCAACCCCTCCAATTACATATTATATTCACACAACGATATTATTACTACTGTTACTATTATCATTGTTACCTCAATTAGCATTCACACTATTTTTTTTCATTTCCATTTTGTTATATTACTATTATACTGTTTGTGACTGGACACTTTACTCCGAATCATTCTGACCTTTATTCAATGACCTTTCTAATTTACAAATAACACAATTTTGAAATAGTTATATCGTAACCAAACGCAAACATTCACAATTTTTAACATATAACATTGTCAAATTGATTAATATATGCCTTATTTCGGCCTTTGTAAAATAATTATGAACCTACGAAGTTATTGCAAAAACAATTGCTCGCTGAAATATTCTTCACTTTCGAAATATCTGTTGACTGTAGACTGATCTAAATGTTACCCCTTAAAAACGATCGTTTAAGATTATTGAAATTTACTTCGTGTAGATTTTCTAATATTTCACCCGCTCCCCATGAAATTAAATTCCAGTAGCTGTTTGAACTTATTGGTCAGAAGTGATAGTTAACATACCATTTCACTTTACCCCTATATATATGTATGTATATATATATATATATATATATATATATATATATATATTACGGAATCATTCCATCCATTCAATATGGTAATTTTTCTTACAGTTAATACATTTTATTTTATAGATACTGTTACATTTTTCAGAGAACGCGATAATATCAAAATCTCAGAAAAGGGTTTTTGTGTATATTATAGTAATTTAATAGTTGAATTCATGAGTCAGTTGAAGCTAGACCACCATGGAAAACCTGGAAACACTAGACGACAATTTCGTTCTAGTTTGGGATTCCTTAGCAATGCGTATCCACGTTCCCGCATCGCAAGATTCGAACCCAGGACCTATCGGTTTCGCGCACGAACGCTTAACCTATAGATCATACACCGAAACTGAAAATTTTTTTAATTATTATTTGACAATATTAAAAATCTATAGAATTAAATGATTTCATAGTGTTATTCAACCACTTATTAATTACAACAAATAAATATTGTATTGTCATTTATTTGTTATAAAAAATACATTACCATTTTTGATGGCATGAAATACAATGAAGATATAAAATAGATTTTGTACTTTTATACTCACTGGATACTACTACTAACAATAATAATAATAAGCATAATGTTTCATCGTACGATTAGCTCATATAAAGTTCGAATGTAGATATTACAAAAAACAAATAATAATAAAATGAATTAATTGTAACTTTGTACATTGATTGTTATATTCATCGACTTTGATCTAAATAATCATTCAATAAAAAGATAGAATACAAAGTATACATGTTTTTAAACAAGTTGGTCAAATTATCTGGCAAACTACTATATATATATATATATATACATATATAGCTTATATTCATTGGTGATTTTTGAATCTAATGAGAATGAATTAATTTTGGCCATTTAATTTGTGAATTACTTATTTATGCCTGTTACCCCTCGTCGAGGAGCATAAGCCGTTCATCAGCACTCTCCATCTAACCCTATCCTAAGCAATCCTTTCCAGTTACTATTCATATCTGCTTCCAATTCTCAAATCAATGTGTTCTTTGATCTTCCTCTTTTCTGTTTCTTTTCAGGACTCCAAGTTAGTGCTTTCCTTGTGATGCAGTTTGATGTTTGCCGTAATGTATGTCCTATCCATTTTCAACGTCTTTTCTTGAATTACTAAAATGAATTATTTGATAATATTGTTTTATTCAATACTGGTCTATAGCATAGTTTAACTGTTAATCTTTCGTTACCGTGCTAAACTAAATCGTTTATGCATAATTCATGTACAAGTGAGCTTACTTCTGACTGATCGTTTTCACCATCCGTTTTATGCAATTAAGCTTTAACTATGTGATTGGCTAATGTTATAACGGGACAAATATAAAAAGTTGTGACTTTTAGAACTAGATTTCGGATTATTGTTATCTGTATCTTTATTGTGTAATTAGTAGGTAACTGTATTCCCCATATTGTAAGCTTTCGGTGGACGCATTAACCATTGTTATACGTTTTACTATTCCTTCGTTATTGCTAATTAATAATGTACTGTTTGTCCATACTCTACCACCTATGGTATGATTGTGTTCAAAGTATTACTTACCATTTGGTGTGCTATGTGGTCAGGCGTTTTAAGTATATTATATTGAATAACGACTGAATTGATTACAGTAGCAAACTAGTTTGCTTCCCATTTGGGTCTTCTGACTGACTACTAGGTTACAAGGAGCTCGAGAATCAACAAGAGTTGGGTTCTTGTTCACCGGTCGCTGTGTTGTTCGGTAAATAAAGTCACCAGTCCTATTAGAGATTTGTTGATCTAATCGAAATTCCAATTGGGCAATATCGCACGTGATATCGGTTGGCATTCTAAGCCATAATACTTGACTTTTTCTTCGTTGATTAATAAACTGAATCTATATAGGTATGTTGTCTACATTAGAAAGGCACTGTTGATGTTGTCCTGTACGACTACGGTTTTGCAACTAAATCATCCAACCCAGGGAATAATAATCTACCAAAAACACCCACTCGAGGCTCAAATATTCATCATTTTACGGTCTATCATCAAACGACTGTGTGAACACTATAGTTTAATGATTTTATCTCTCCATTCTATATATTAATACAAATAACTGAAGTGTTAGATATTACATCCTTAAAGAAATAAGCGTATAGAACAGATTTTCCTCACGAACTGATATAAAGGTTAGTGTTGGAACTATTCAGAACTAAGTTGTTGAGTCGGCTTCCGAGAACTACAACAGAGCGTCCAGAGGCCCTAAAGGAGCCGAAGAGTTTCAGCCAGTCAGAGTATGAGGGAGCTTTCTAGGATATTAACGTGGTATGATACTACTGGTCAGTAGCATGTCTTTTAGCGAATTGGTCAAAATATAATGTTGATTTGACAAATGCTAATAATTTATAAATACCCGTGTTTTACTGTACACAAATGAACCTTCGGAGTAACGAGCTTTTCGCTTAATTTGCGCCTTTCCTCTCGTGTTCAGGTCGCTGTGTAGTTCTAGCTTGCGGGTTACCAGAATCGCTTACGAACTGAATAAAGCGTTCAAATTAGCAAGACTTATCGGAAGTATCGCTCAGCTCTATATTTTTATTGAAAGACTATTCAGCAATGTACGCTATTGATTCCATTTGAAGTGAAAACAAGGAAAATCAGGTGTCGTGATGAGTATGACACCCTTAGGCTACTGTTCAGCATACAATGATTTCCTGTCCGTGTTTTGTGGTTATTTCAATTTAGAACATACAGGTCCCAGGATAGAACAATTATTTCCAATCTGTCATATGCACTTCATAATAATCCCATAGAGCTATAAAAAATTATCAGACTTAAGTCATAATACACTACACACAGGTGAACATAGTCTAGTTAAGATTGCAAATATTTTTGGTTAAATAATTCTTGTTCATATAAACAGTCAGAGATCTCTGATGACCACAAGTTATACGACAATAAACTAGATAGTCTTCAGTTTATTGCCAGTCTTAATAGTATTTATAATTAATCATTTTTGAGTTTATTATTTTGCATACTCGCAATACATACTTTATGTCTTGAATCAATGAACTCCATCACATCATAGAATATATAGGTAGATTTATCTCTTTATTTGTTCATGGACGTGTATTATTCACTGTGCAATTTAGTGGTACGGTGATGGATGGATATTGCAGCTTTCTGTATCAGTAGGTCATATAGTCGTAATGCTAAAGAGTCTGACGATTTTAGTCTATCAAACTGTTTTGATGTAATTACAGAATTATTTCGTAGTTTTCTAGGATGTCTATAAGTTGTCTTTAGAATAATTTGATCTTATTTCTTCCCTCAAGCTTTGAAAACTTGGTGTTGTATCAGGTAATATATTCTTCATTTCATTTGGGTAGTGTTGTTGATCACTCGGCTAAAGGAACAGTGGTTATGCTACTAGACATTTTATGTATTTTAATTTGGAGATAGGAGATAAACTATCAGTTCAATGGAGAATCTGGGAAAAATTCAACTGAAGTTTATTGATCTTAACTATGTATAACTTTCTCTAAGTTTGTATAATCTTATTGGTTACTGAAAAATATGTAATTTTAATCGACAGTCGGTCATTTATACCTAAACTTTTCATTCGTAAGATGAACAAAATTGTTTTGAATGTGTGTTTACACAAATCCGATCGGTCTGATTACGAGAACCTCAGTTGAACGATATTTAAACTTATAGAAATAACTGTTAACTCAATAAGCAGCTGAGATTCAACAAGACATTGGATTTTACTATCGTTAGAATACTGATTTTGACTTATAAAAGTGCAGACTCCATTACTTACAAGATATGTGTTGCTAATTATTCAGATTATTGAGGACTAAAATCTTATTATACTGAAACATCGCCTAGTATATTGACCAGATTAGCATAATTGTATATATATTGATAATGCTTAAGTAGTAGAAGATAACTTTGAATTCAAAACAGAACGCTTACTTGAAAGTAGTTGTACGCACAATAACGTCTTTACTAATCGTAATAAAAATGTATTTTAGGAGTTAGCACTTGATTAGACAAAGAAAATACAACAAAGTACTGGTAGTATGTTCGAAATTATAGACACGAAAATCACAAAGAAATATATGAAATTATACCTAAATAAGTTACGAATAACCTTCGTAAAATATTATCCAGTGCCAAATTCATTATATGAAATAACTAGATGAATCGATCCATTGTTGCCTTAACTCTTTTTCTTTATTGATTTTCTATGTGAATATCAGATACTTTATGATTCAAATAATAGAAACAAGACTAATATTTAATATCAGAAGAGGTTTTTATGTATATTATACTAATTTCAATAGTTGAGATCATAAGTCAATTGAAGCTAGATCACCATGGAAAACTTGGAAGCATTGGACGACAAGTTTGTTCTAGTGTGGGACTCCTCAACAACGCGCATCCAAGATCCAGTCCCATGGAATTGGGACCCAGGACCTATCAGTCTAGTGCGCGAACGCTTAACACCTACATCACTGAGCCGGCCGGCATCCAACGGTGTTAATGCCTAAATTCAACTAATCCACAAAATTGAGAGACACATCCACTATTATCATCAGTGAGTTACTATCTCACAACAGACCCGGTTGAACTCTACTGGTCACTGCTTTACACTAGAACCCCAGGACATATCTCTTGAAGCCAGTCACTAGTGAGCATATGTTGATTCATATCAGAAGGGGGATATCTGTTGTGAGATAGTTGTTAGTTGTGTCCATGGCTAACCAATCAAATCGTTGTTTAAGCGCCCACCACGTTGATCTGGTCTGATGTGTTTGTAAACTATCCCTGGTGCATGTGACATACCAATTGAAAGACATTATTTTCCTATTATATTAGTGTGACTCATAGTTTTATTCATTTCCATAAGACACCCAATACTGGTCGAAACAGATAAAGCCTAAAGCCGAATTGTCCTTGTTCTGACTATAGCTTTCACATAGACTCTGTGATCGCTAGTATCGCGTTTACGGTTCTAGTAGTACATTTGTAGGACAAATTAAATCCTACAATAGTAACTCACTGATAATGGTGGATGCATCGCTCAATTTCGTGAATTGGTTGAAGTTAAACATTAACACCGTTGGATGCCGGCTCAATGGTCTAGTGGTTAAGTGCTCACTCGAGGGACTGTTAGGTCTTGGGTTCGAATTCCGTGGGACGGGACCGTGGATGCGGATTGTTGGAGTCCCATACTAGGACGAAATTATCGTCCAGTGCTTCCAGGTTTCCATGGTGGTCTAGCTTCAAATGACTCATAACCTAAACTATTGAAATTAATATTTAATAGTTTATTCGCGTATTTAAGCGAACTTACTGAAAATTTCTTTCCTTCGAAAAAGATCTTACCCAATTATTTAATATACTTTTGTGATTGGAATTCCATCAAAACTGTTGTGGTGTTTGTAAAAAATGATAAATATATTGTATGTGGTTACCGCAGCGAGAAGGCAGTGAGTAGGACTTCCCTGGAAGTGGCTGTATACGCGTGGCCATATGAGAGCATTTAGAGAGGGAGCGAACTTCCCCACCCTCGGCCGTACCAGAGCTTTTGGGTTATCAGGCTTACTATAAGGTTATAAAATGTTAGGTTTTGACCCCGTTTGAAGCTTTGGGGATATGATGTGCACATGGCTGAGAATGATCAAATTAGGACTATATAGCTGCCCAGTTTTCACTGCCTTTCAGATGGTGTTAGTGAATGACGAGAACTACCTTCTTTTTAATAGTTTCGGTTTGTTGAGAAAACTTTAACCAAATAAAGTCTTCATTTGTTAATATAGTTATTAGATAATTATTATCTTTCACAGATTAATGATCATAAAATGTAATCTTTAAAATTTTTCATCATATTTTTATCACTGATAAGTCCAAATTCCCATATGAAGCGAGTTACACTGGTCGAAGCATATGAATATCTTAAAGTATGACCGTGAAAATGTGTGGTTAAGATGGTAAATAGTTCAACTTCGTATATATTTCGAAGGTTAGAGTATTAAACAGAAATGAGATGTTTCTATGTTTCTTCTTAGTATTTACGGAAAGAACTTATGTACTGGAAATACAAAGCGATTTTATTATTTATGGGAATACCCTATTTCTTTAAAAAAATACTGGATCTAATTGGCTCTGTAAGAAAAGAATACGTTGCTTAGTAAGAAATTCTCGAATGTGTATTTTTTTATTAATAACGCTGACTAAAATTGAGGTTTGCATAAAACATTCCCCCTATTTATAACAATTCCCATAAGATTTTTATTATGTTAATTCAATATGTTTATGGAGAATTTCTCCTTAAGATACCCTGGGTTTGCTCCATGCCGATTTACAGGAACTATTTTAGAACATTTCTAAACATGTGTGGTTAGGTTTTTATCAATAGACTTGGGATATAGCTTGTTTATTCCATTTTTTAAGTAAGACCCCTCTATTTGTGAAAGCTAACCATTGTGCATCAACTTGAAAAACCAAACTTCAGATACTATTAGTGAGAAGATATTGGCAACATGAAAAGTAAGGGATTAGTAATAATAATATCAACAATAGCAGAAATACATGTACATACTCACACGCACCTCATTCGTACTTTGAAATTACAAGATATTAGTGAAAACATCACAGTACTACCTTCTAAAAAAATAAGTAATATATATGCATATAACTCAAAAGAAGCGGTAAATTAGCAGAAACACAACACAACAACCAATGACTAGCCCCAAAACAATTGAGTCTTGCTTGTGTCTCCAGTCAATTTTATTGATCAGTTTCTTTACCTGTGGAAAACGGGAACTTAAATTCGATAGACCTGTTGAGGCAGTGCGTAGTGCGAAGCGTTGGGCACGTAATGCGGCTCGTATTGTTGATGCTGCAGCTAAATGTTCATCCAACAGACGATTAGAGCGATGGTATTTTTCTTGTTCATCTAGAAGTAAACGAGTTGAACTAGATATATTTGACTGTAAACCGGAACGTTGATTACCACCGGAAGAATCTACATCAGATTGAGGTTTTGAAGTAAAATCACCGCTTAGATTTACAGTTGTGGTGTTTGTGTCTCGATAAACCTATATTTTTGAAGAACAAAATAACGTGAAACACATAGAAAGAGGAAATACTAGGGAATATAAAGAATAAATATCACATCAAAAGATGTGATGTCGTTTTAAACACCAAGTGAAGACTTCGGTTTATATTCAAGGTTGTTTTTAGATTACTACATTGTCTGCTCCGCATCTCAGGACTCACGGATTGACTAACCTACAATACATAGCCTTAATTGTGCCTACTACTCTTATTACAGCGACAGTGTGTATTACAGAAGCTAAAGTGGAAGACACACATATTGAGACCAGAATCTTATGCTCAGTAGTTAGAATGTTCAGCATTCAACTACTGAGTATCAGTCCAGAATCCACTTTACCTACATTGATTTGGAAGACTGTTTCGTATCACTAGCCCTTCTCGGATGTTATGGCTTGAAGACAAGTACGCAAACCAGTACTGAGTTGGATTTAATATTTAATACTGGTGTTGAGACCTTACCCAAACATTCTTGCAATGTCACTCAAAGAGTACAGATGTTGAATTTTGGCTAATAATTCTACCAAACACAGCTGTGTATTGGAAATCAATGAAAGCGGACAGACAACAGACTATTTTTAAGCGAAATATCCATAAATTATAATCTCCGTTTTGTTGATTGGAGATCATTATTGCGTGTGAGCTGTGAGACTGTTTAGTCACTAAGAAGAGACAAAAACGTGTCGTTTCAGGGAAAGAAAATGAAAAGCCATGATAGATACTATTTGATACAAGCGATTCATAATCTTAAAAGGATTCGAAGCTGATTCATCAAGATCAGTAGCTCTGCATAACTTTAAATTAGTTGGTGAAATACAGTAAAGAAAATCAGATTCTTGTATTTAAGTTGCTAGTGGATAGTCAGCGAATAATATATGACATTAGTTAAGCAACGCAAGATGATTTCATAAGAATTTACATTCGACAGACGAGCAACGTACAGCTTCGTCCGATACGTTTATCAAATTAAACTGCTACACTTAACGATAACATACGGAAGCTGGTGGAGTAGTCAGATGTCAAATATTTAAGTAAGCACAAACAGTGAACACGTTTCAATACAAGTGATTTTGAGGTGTATCACGTCTCAAGTTCAAAGGACCTCAGTAATAAATGGATGACTTGTAATTTCCCATACATATATTCAAGAAAAACCCTCAAAATAAAAAAGATTACTTACAGATCCTAGAAGGTTTTCACGTTCACGGGCAGCAATGAGTTTGGCTTTAGTTTGACGAAACTCCTGAGCATAATCACGAAGAATTTCACGATGTCGTTTAGCTGTATGCAGTTGACTAAGTCTTCCAGCTGCCATATTAGTAGAATTGAGTGGGTTTCGTGCAGTACTATCAAAAGAGGTAGGTGTAGTTTCTGTTTCAGGGACAAAAGTTGCCATCCGTTCATTGATTTGGGTAAGTCTGTAGATTAACGAGGTAAAAATTACAAGGTATGTTAGATAATGTGTGTCTGTGAAAATGATATCCCTAGTGAGAGCGTTTAAATAAATTTAGACGAAATATGAATGAAAAAACGGTAATCGTATTCTATTTACTGAGGATGAGTCTTAAACTAAAAAAATACTTGGCACAAACTGTTTTCCAAGTATCAGTAGTCCCTCTGAAGTTGATCAGTAATAAAAATTACTGAATTATGGATAAACCTACTAACTGGAATTTCTTTGTATTTATAAACTTAAAGATATTTAGAAAATCACTTGTATTAATTACGATTGCTGTGTGATTGGTATCAAAAAAGGGAAATCCAGTAAAACGTAAGTTGTACAATAATAAATCTTACCTTAGTTTTAATTCACTTAATGGGCGATCGCAGAATGCTTTGACCGTTGGTTGTTAAAGTTACTGGAAACTAGAAAAGTTTTAAATCTGACCGGTTTACAAATATTTAGGAGCATACATCCGTTTGCTAGCGACCTCATTAGTGATACTCCTCTATACATGAACAGAACCAAAATTTATGCGAAAAGGAGTACTTGATAAGTCTATCATCCTTCTGTGTAGCACCCGTCCGGGTAATCTTTTCCAGTATACGTCAGTGACTAGCGAATAATTTAATTCAATAACACAAGACTCTATTTCTAATTCAAACATATTTCACTTATTACCATACACAATGAAAAGAGCTTCAGAAACGCTTATAATAGAATACGTTTGATATTTTTACGTTGTTTATGTTTGATAGAGACAGTGAGAATTTCAGATTGAACGATTACCAGGCTAAAACATCTCACTTTTCGAAGGTGAATTTAAGTGAGCCATTATCCCAATTAAAGGCAAAATCTTCGATTACAGTTCTTCACTAAATGATATGCCTCAGATGTTGAGACCCTAGATGGAATTCCAATATGGCCCTGGTATGGCCGAGAGTGGGGTGGGTCCGTCCTCCCTCTCGAACTGCTCTCACATGGCCACGCGTATACAGTCTCTGCCAGGGAAGTCCTACCCACTACCTTCTCGTGACGGGGGTGTTGTTTACAAAAATGAGAGGACGAAAAGCAAATGTCCGGCGCCTTAACCGGATCCCAAACCAATGGTGCACATGGGCTCCAGTATCCTGCGGGAACAAATGGAGTATGAACGAATCGCTGGTCACCGGCTACCATGGGACTGCATCTCCTTACGATGCTCCACTGCCTTGTGGGTTAGACCTTTAGGTCAAAGGTTCGCTGTGTGGCTTCCTAAGAAAACCACCTGCTTCGGTCTGGGCACCCGGGCAGTATCACAGCCCACATACAAATCAAGTGACTTGTGTGGCGCATATGTATTCGGTGCCGCTTTGTACCAAAATTTATGTGTTCAAATGATAATCGATCGCTTTAAAGCACATCACATTAGCTTCACTTAAAAATGAACACCCAGATAATTTTGTTAGAACTATGGGCTATTCTTAGATAGTGTTTTATAAATTGGCTAGTTATTTGATTCTAAAACTTCTGAAGAAAAGGCATGGTTCAAGTTTAAAAGTAGCTTTCGAAACGTTGCTACCTCCCTCATGTAGACCCAGTAACTACGTTTCATGGATAAATAGGTCATAAAACATCCTAGACAAAGATACTTCGCAAACTGCCTTTCAGTCAGTCCACAACGTAGAAATTCGTACGTACGTACATCAGCTCGAATTGACGATTCAAATCCCATAGTAGTAGAGATAGTCAGTCAGTCAGCCAGCTACAACGTAGGACCAGGCACATATATGCATCGGTCCAGGTTGCAATACCGCATTAGCACAGCAAGAAGAACACCGGATTCATAGGAGTGGTTAGGTCAAAGGTGGTAATACATAGGAGAAAGATTGTATATGAGATACAGTACAGGAAGAAAGAATTAGTAGAAAGAAAGATGTGAAGTGGTTTTAATCTCTTAGTTTGAGGGAAGACAGGGAGTGTATACACCTACGCCATTGTGATCGATTCTGAGCCATGTCACCAAGAGTCTCCAACCACCGGTTACGAAAGTCACGCGGACCCCAACCAAGTAGTCTGCATCTACCAACATGGCTCAGACTAGAGGTTAGTGTCTTTTAGCACTGATGCCACGTTTTGGTTTGGCCGCCCCTAATTCTCTGCCAACCATCTCTAACACCCGTTAGCATTGCACGACGTGGTAATCGGTGTTCAGGCATACGTAACACGTGGCCCAACCATCTCAGTCGATGAAGATTCACAACCTCATCAACTGATTTACCATCATTCCCTAAACCCTGCGTCTAACCTCACTATTACTTACCCGGTGATCCCAACAGACGCCAGCAATATTTCTAAGGCATCTGTGGTCAAATACTAGTAGCTTACGAGTATCACCTACTCTTAAAGGCCATGTTTCGCTGTCGTAAATAAAAACAGAACGGACTGCCGCGCAGGATACTCGTCCTTTTATTGATAGACGGATATCTCGCCTTCGCCAAAGGTGACGTAAGTTGGCAAAAGCCAAGCGAGCTTTTCGAATCCGTGCTGAGATTTCGTCCGATACCAACCCATTAGGGCTGATCAGACTTCCAAGATAAGTGAAGTTGTCGACGCGTCCGATTACTTCACTCCCTATCCTTAGTTCAGGTGTTGACGCAGACCAGTCCTGAAGCAGCAGCTTGCATTTCGAGGGAGAGAGGCGCATTCCAAACATTCTGGCATTGTTGCTTAGTGCTACCAAAAGACTCTGCATTTTGTCAGCGTCTTCACCAAACAGGACTATGTCATCTGCGTATTCTAAGTAGATAAGTGGACCTCCTGGTAGGAGATCAATACCCGAGAACTCAGTCGACGAGAAAGTTATTTCCATCAGTAGATCTATGATGAAGTTAAACAAAAATGGGGAAAGTGGACAGCCTTGACGGACACCACTTGAGGTTGAAAAGTAGATGACAGTTCGCCATAAGCTCTGACTCGACTAGTAGTGTTCGAGTAAAGAGCCTTTACAAGGTTTATGTAGTTGAGGTACGCGTTTCAATGACAGACAATGCCACAGAATCTCGCGGTCTACCGAACCAAATGCTGCCTTTAAGTCAAGAAAGACCACCATTGTCGGACGCCGATAAGTATGCCTGTGTTCTGGAACCTGACAAATGGTGAATATGTGGTCGATGCAGCCACAACCAGGTCTAAAGCCAGCTTGGTTCTCTCGTGTTTGCAGTTCACGAGTCTTAGTTAGGCGTCTGATAATTATCGAGGCTAGTATTTTAGATATTATATTAGTTAAACTAATCCCTCTGTGGTTGTCACAGGATGATTTTGACCCTTTCTTATATATTGGGACGATAAGTGATTGCGACCAGTTAGATGGGATAACGTCTAACTCCCAGATCTTAGCTAAAATATTAGTTAACCTAATCGTTAAAGTTGGACCACCATCCTTAAAGATTTCTGGAGCCAATGCATCCAGACCAGCTGCCCTTTCTCGTTTCAGATTAACTATAGCCTTTTGAACTTCTGCTACAGTTGGGGGACCTACTTCAATGTTCTATTCACACTGTCTGGGAATGGAGGGTAGTTGTAGAGTAGCTGAAGGCCAGCTGAACTGTTCTCTAAAATGTTCCGCTTATCGTTCTAAACGTATGGACTGGGAGCAGATGAGATTATCGTCTTTTTCTGATATAATCTCACTTACACTTGACTTATTAATTCCAGTTTCTTTTATTAGTCTGTAAAGCTGTCTTGTGTTCCCTATAGTAGCCGCCTTTTCCATCTCTTTTGCTTTCGTTGCCCACCACTGCTCTCGGTCGTTTCTTAGACTTTTTCTTAACCTAGATCTGATTTGTTGTTGCTCTTCATCATGTTCAGAACCTGATGGGACGAGTTTGCGAGAATCCGTCAGTGTGACAGACCTTGAGGAAATCCACTGGTTCTTTGTAACTCTGTGGTTTAAGTCACTAATAGATTTCATTGCTGTTTCCAAAGCTGTTTGTATATCTTTCCAAGCAACATCTGGGTCAACCTCGTTTTCCGAGCTACCTAATTGTGATCTCAGTTGTTCTTGGAACCTACTTTTGGTTTCCTCGCTACTCAGTTCGGTTCTAATGGATCTTTTTAATGTGGCTTTTTTGCGTCCAGTGAGGCGCAAGCAGATGCGTGCCCGTATTAGGGCATGGTCGGAGTCCAAGCAGGTACTCCAGAATGAGCGACAATCTTGTACCGACCCTCTCCAACGATGACTGATGGCAATATGGTCTATTTGAGTCCATCGTTGGTTTGGTGCAGGCGGTCGCCACGTTAGACGATGTCTCTCCTTATGCTTAAAATTTGTGTTTGCTAAAAATAAGCGATTGTCTGAGCACAGTCGCAGCAGACGGTCACTATTATCTGTTCGCTGTGCCGGAATGCTAATATATCCACCTAAATGCCTTTCTGTTTGGTTTAAGCTACCTATCTGAGCATTAAAGTCACCCCCTACGAGTACTATGTCTGAGCGTTTAGCTTTCTGAAGAAGTTCGGACAGCTTTCTGTAAAATTCATCTTTCACATCATCTGAGCTGCAGTCAGTGGGAACGACGTGTGTCCCTATCCTTCCGAGTTTTTACGGAGCCGTTTAGCCGAACAGCACATAGACGACTGTTGACGGGGATCCACTCTAGCAGTGCTTGTTCCGCCCTCATGCTTAGTGCTATGCCTACACCTGCCAGTCCACGAGAACTGGCCATCGGGTCACCAGATACACGTAGGGTGTATCTCGTTGGCTCTCCGTTTTGCCGAGGTGAGGTCAAGTGAATGACCACACTGGAATCCTGAATGCGTGTTTCGGAGACACAGCATACATCAATGGAAAGAGACTCTAGGGTTTTAGCCAAGGAAGCCTGCTGACCGATTTGACATAGAGTGCGTACGTTGAAAGCTCCTATGTGTAGTTTGGAGCGAGGTTTCAGTAGACCTGGGACAGAGTTTTGAGCACTAGAATCGTTGGCTATGGTGACACTTGAGGAGGAAGCCGAAGGAGGAAGTTTAGGGTTTAAAGTCGATGTAGGAGGAATAATAGGAATTGAAGAGGAAGGTTGATTATGAATACAATGGTCTTGGGTGCTGTTAGAGGTATGAGGGCGGTTATCACTTCCCGGTTGCCCACACCGTGGAAGGGTTCTTCTGGAGGTACCTGAAAAGGAAATTGGATTAGAGGTGGTCTCAGTGACCTGAGAGCGTGACCGCAGTGCCCAAGGGACAACTGCTCGAGGCCGGTCGCGCACGACCTTTTTGTGGAAGGTTTTTGACGTGTTAGCTCCGTTCTTCAAAGGGCCTTACCGCCGGAGACGGAAATCCGTGAGGTAAGGTGAGGTGTGCATTTTTAGGGTCGACCTTTTCTAACCCCACCCCTCCTTGTGGGAAGGCAGCATCGCTGTTATGCTGGTTGTCCGAGGGAAACACCTTACTGCTGTCACACCTCTGTACAGTCAGCAGTACGACTTCGCCTTCGGACCTTGAGTTTGTTGCTTTTAATCTTACCGCTCTTCAACCGACCTGTCTGACATGGTAGGACCTTGAGGAACGGTTGTTCCAGCCAGTATAGCTCGGTTGCTGCATCACGATAAGCAAGCCCGACCACCACGTCAAGGTAGCAACAACGGTCGGGAGTAGAGATAGTAAGAGTATAAGCAGTAATCATAAACACTAGGGTTTGAAGATGTTATTTAAGGAGTATAATCCAGTGAAATAAATGTGGGAAGAGAAAAAAGGGATATGAAGAATCCAGAAGATTAGAATTTAAGAGAACACAAAGAGTGAATGTACATGAACCATAACAAACGATTTTGAGCCATGTCATTCAAGGTCACTAACCATCGGTTGCTAACTGCCTTTGGACAATTCATATCAAGTTAATGTATAACAAGACTGGCATAAGAAGCGCTGTCACTTAAAACTGGATTATTCTGGGAGGCAACCAGTTCACGATACACAGGATAGCTCCGTAAGTATGTATTTCCACACTGAAAGAACCCAGGGATGTGATGGTATCTTACCACTTTTGCTTTAAGATGGTCTAGAAATCGGAAACAAAGACACTAACAAGGTTGTTTAGGATGGTACTTCGGTAAACTACTCTCCGTTAGTGACAGTGGAAAAAAGGCAATATTTGCAATGTTGGCATAATGATGGTGGATTCCGTATACGTAAAAAGGTTGTCTCACTACTCCAACATCGCGCACCAGACAAGTTCGATAGTCCTGAAGATGTCCATCCGTAGACTATACCAGCTCAACCTGATATGATTCCCACACTGGGGATATTGCTTCATGTCACTATACCGATTGGAATGACTGAGTTAATGAAAATGGTGATAATATGGGATTAGATGCAAGTGAATAAGCTGATAATCATTAAAGTAAATTCCAATAATACCATCTTAATCCAAGTATTTGTGCCGATTTACATTACCAGATTATAAATGAAATGTATTTACCTAATGTTACAATTATAAGGATTCAGTGATCATTATAAGTAAGTACTTCAAAACCTCAGTTAACTGTTGGATGACGATTGCTTAGGGATATTTTGAAGTAGTTTAAAAATTGGATCCAAATTAATTTATTGTATACTACATACAAGACCACATCTGGGACATGGGATCTAATTAGTCGCAAATTTTCATTGTCACGACCTTACAATTGGAGATAATCTTATACCTTCTATGCTGTAGAACAAAAAACACTTCTGTACCCTCAGAGGATGGCACAGATCTTTGAAAAATCCCTTAGTGTGGATATCAGAAAGGTTAGTTTAGTATAATTATTACTGAGGATGAGTCCATACTTTGACTCACCTCTGCAGTTGTTCTTCTATTTCATTGCACATTACGTTGAAGTTTGTGTCGAAATCTACATGTGACGGTACTTCTGGGGTTACATTGCTTTTACTGATTATTCCAGAATTGGTAAAACGAGTAATGTGTTTGTGTTCTACTGGTCGAATTCCAATTTTACCAAAAGCAGCTAGTTTTGAATCAATCTCGCCCTCCAGTACTCGAGCTTGTATTCTAAGCTCATCCCAGGTTGAAGGGATCATACTAAAACCGGTGATATTCAAATGTATGGATATCAAACCACGGAATACCCAGACAAAACATTTGCGCTGGCAACAGAACGCAACTGTTGACTGACGCGCTCCAAAATATTCAAATCTCAAAATAAGCGAACGATTTATGAGATCTGAATAACAGTTTTCGAGTATCTGTAAGAATCTTTCATAGGAAATACTCAGTGAGATTAATAATTGAAGACATTTAGGATAGGCATTCTTAATATCAATGATTCTTTGTTCTCCATTATTAATAACCTAATGCTAAAGGGATTAAGGGAACCATATTAATTCAGTAGTGGTAAATGAAACCCCAGAAAGTAATAGTTCCAAGCCTTGGACATTGATTCTGATCTCATTGGTTCTGCTGGACGCATCTTAGCTGAAGGCACTTGGTCAATCATTCACACTAGATCACGTTTTATCACGTCACGCTGAACAGCTCTTACAACAACTAGTCTTGAAGCACATAGTGCTCGATGCATCATCCACCTTCCATATATCTCTCCGAGTGTATTCATTCATGATCTCTGATTTGACTGGCTTTTATGTCCTCAGCGTTGCCAGGTAGTGAGAATCAGTGACATCCTTAATCCTGAAGACGCCACAAGTATTTGGAGTTTGACGACACCTTGACTGGTAACATCTTCTATAATCGAAACTTGCCCATCCGATGGAATCAGAAGCCAGGAGAGAAAAGGTTCAAAGTTATATCTGATAGGCTGTCAATATATGGAGAAGTGACTGATCTAAACTGGCTGGTGTTTGTAGGTGGAATTGAGCACGGCGTTCCCACTCGTGATCTGGTCGATATTCTGTAACCCAACTGCCGGGGGGATTTGGCTAGGGCCCACTCACATTTCACTGGCCCTAAAACCCCCCACACCAGATTCAACGGCCGCTTGAATAGGTACCAAACATGTTAGGGGTAGTCGCGCACCGGAGGTTTCCAAACGACTAATATGAATCCCCCGAGCATTGTCGAGCTGTAAGGCAAACGGAAACTGGCCGTGAAACAGCGAGTAATAATAAGTTTATAGGACGTTGGCCGGATGTCTAAAGTAAATTGAGGAATGTAGTCCAGGTGTCGAGATTCGGGTGGAGTACTTATCTGAAGATGAGCTTAAAGAGAAGGTAAGAAGTTAGTGATCTGTAGAAAGGGTGGATTCTCGAACCTCAGTAGAATTTTGAGAGTGCCGTGCAGCAAAGCACATGGCTTTGACTTCCATGCCGAAAGTGCTATACCTCGATTCAGTGTCTAGCAGCTGTCTTGAAACAATGTCAAAGGTTGCCAGGTATGGTTAACCCATTGTTGTAAGTCTCCTCCGATTGCCGTGTCCTGGTGTGCAAGCATGGTTGTTTTTGCGATAAGTTCCTTAATTGTGGAGAATGCTTTTCTCGTGTTATCGTCCAAAGTGATGGACTTCACATTTCCATGAAGTCGGTTAATGACAGAGTTCATAAAGGACGTGCAGTTTGGTGTGAGCCTTCTATAGAAACTTACAAGGCCGTTAAATGTACGTAGTTGCTTGATGGTGGTCGGTTCTAGGTAATCCATAATAGCCGCCACGTTGCTTCTCAGAGGTCGTATGGCTTGAGCAACAATAGTGTATCCGAGGAAATCTAGGGAGTCAGTTCCGATTTTGCATTTCCGAATGCTTACAGTAAAGCCATGCTTTTGCAGTCAAGATCCAGATGCTATCAAGCAGTCATCAACATACGCACGTACGAAGGTGTGACCTCGAAAAACGTCATCTATAAACCTTTAGAAGGTTTGGGCAGCATTTCTTAGGCCGAAAGGCATGCTCAAAAATTCGTACAGGACCAGAGGAGTTATGATTTCGGTTTTTGGAATGTCATCAGTGGCCATGCGAATTCGGTTATAGGCTCTAACCAAGTCGACTTTCGAAAAGACAGTTATATCTTCCAAGGTGGCTGCCAAGTCATGAATGTAGGGCAACGGGTAGCGATCGGGAATGGTTTTCACACTCAATTGCTGATAGCCACCAGTTGAACGCCAGTCGATGCTGTCATTTTTAGGGACCATATGCAAGGGAGATGCCCACGAGTTGTTTGACGGCCGAATGATTCCTAAATCTACCATGTGGTCGAATTTGTTTTTAACCAGCCTCAGCTTTTCATGAGCCAGTCGGCGTGCTTTCGAGAATACAGGCGATCCTGTGGTCGTGATGTGATGTGTAACATAGGTGGTTACACACTGTAATTTCGGTTGCGATTGGTATATCCCGGAATACTTATCAAGTAATTGTTGATAGAATGGAGCTATCGTGTGTCTAACTGTGACAGGAGATAATCTGCAACCGGAAAAAGAAGTTACGCGAACAGATAAATTAGTGTTTCCCTCCACTTTCCTCCGTTTGCGCTTATCAATGAGTGGCATGTGGTGTTGTAGCAAGTCTATACCAATGATTGGCATAAAAACATCTGCAACAACAAAAATCCAGTGAATGAATCTGCTTTCCGTTTGCCGCCTGTAAGTTTAAAACAGATTCATGAAGCTGATCGTCAGAATTCGCTGAAGAATGCTAACTTCTGCTTCATTATCGACGAGGCAGCGAACTTTCGTTATCACAGACGAATGAGTTCTCCGGCTACGGTTGCCATTAACGCGTGCCGGCTAGGAAGTTTTCTCGAATTTCTTTTCGTATCGATCGATTTCGAGTATGGAAATTTGTAGGATGATTTGGCCTGGGCTCAGTAACATTACACTGTCCCTATAAGTCTCTCAATCCGTAGTGCTGTGAAGATCCATTCTCTCTCGAAACGTATCAACAGGGGTGCCAACATTACGTGTTCTGGTAGAGGATTCCTTTAATGAACTATTCGGAGAGAGAAATGAAACTTCAAGCGATGAGATGTCGTTTTTCAAACAGTTTTAGAATGTCCCCCTCACATGATCATTCCTAGATGGAGGAAAAAAATAAGACTTTTGTCATCATAATCACCGTTCAATATAAGCTAAGTCAGCATTAGACCGTCTCGTGGCCTGCGGTAAGATAACGGAAATAAGTTGAGACATTTCATTCCAACTTTATGAAGTGGGTTGTGAAACGTTTCACCGTTCTGGACCATTACTGCTGACCCTACTCTAGCATATCCACTTCATTACTCAAACAAAGATTTGCTGCTTAAATCTCATGTTGCAAATGCAGTTTCACAAACGTCAGACATAATACCCTAAACATTTCTCCATCTTGCTGATCAAAATTCTTAAGAATAGCCATTTAGACACTATAGTCTTTGGCTGCAACAGCCTTACTGTCACTTCTCGTCACCAGTTATGACTCTAGACCTTTGTAACCCATTGCGTTGGACACTCTCATTTCATTGACTGTGCAGCTATGTAAGTCGTCTTAATAATTTACTTTTATCTCTATAATCATGCTAGAACCAACTTCTGTTGGTTGCTTATACATAAATTCAAGCAGTGGATTTAGGTCGTCCTACAATATTGTTCTATTTGGCATACAGTGTACTGGTCTCGAAATCCTAATGTTGTTGATAAAAAGTAGTTTTACAATTCTTTGCCGATTTCTTTACATACGAAAGCCTAGCCTTACTTATGAACACTTCGCATGCGTTCCTAGTCTTACAGTGAGTGAAATTGTACTGTTCCAAGCCTGTAGACATCAACAATTTCATTACACTTTCCTACGTCTTGGAAGCCTCCTGATCTCGTCAATTATCATTGGTGGACAGTTATTTGGTCTGCGTGGCACTAAGCTTGTTATAAATGGCGACGTAACTGAGCTAAGTGTAACTTTGAATATAGATCATGCTTCTTGGATTGATGAGCTAGTATCTCCGTGCCAGTCCGTTGTTGCAGCACTGTTATAAGCTTGATATATTTACTTTCCATATATATGGGCGAGCTGAAACCTGATCATCGACTACGACGCAAACCCAGAATGTGAACGATAAAACAGCATGATCGCCATTAGCTAGCTTTGGGAGGATATCTAGGCAGACAATATCAGCTGTCGCATAAATAATTATCAAGTTTAACGAAAAAGACCCTTGGATTGGATCAAGATACTTTACTAATGCATGACCCATCACAGTCATCAGGAGCGTACTGTCGAATGTGTTTTGAACTCTACGGTAGTCATCTCTGTTCAGTTAATATCAGTTGAGTCCAAATCCCCTATATCAGGTGCGTGCTATTTTCGTCTAATGATTGAATGTGTTGTAAAATAAAATCATCTATTAAGCATACTGAACTGTGGTAGATGACATTATGAATGTACAAGCTTCAGGAGTGAGTTTACACTCAGTGAATTTATAAGTCTTACTGCCAAGAGACTCACAAACAAACGAACATATTTTTTAATATTTAAGTCATGCATGTAAAAAAAGTCACCTCTTTCTCCGTATACATTTCTATCACTTCTTAAGCAAGTGTACTCCGACAGTTCTGGCGTGACGGGAGACTTGTAACAGATTAGGTTGATTTGTTACGAGCTGATTAGTTTTCATCATTGCCTTCGAAGTAGATTCTTCTTTCTTTTTACTTTAGGGTGACTCAAGAGGTAGGTGAATAAACACCTGATAGCCGGAAAGAGTATGGAAAAATCGTGCCTCACCAAAATGTCGTTGGGTAGCCCGCTTGTGGCACTTCCTCGGATATTCTTGTTTCGTTTTTTCACACGTTTTCTCTTGCAAGCACGTGGCAAGCCGTCAGCGATAGTTGTAGAAGAAATTATATGATACAAAATAAGATGGCAAGCTAGTAAATGAAGAGACATCCATGGGCTATCGTCGGTTGCTGACGGAGTTAGTCGTCATTGATTGGAAGTCAAACAGTGAGCGAGTTAATAATTCTCTCTTGGACTGCGGAAACAGAAATCAAGTGTTTTTGACAGATAGGTTAATCGAACCGACGTTCCTACGGAAGTGTATTCTAGGGGGAAGCTAAAGTATCAACCTAAGAGTTGACCTCAAACAACTAAGCATATGTCAAAACAATAGAGTTCAAGTATTGATTCACTTCCTTATTTTGTATAAGCGTTATATTTCTTATTATCTTATACTGAGTGTTGAGAGGCTTTGTTTGTCTGAACAGGTAATCCCACGCTCCACTGTGACTGCGCGAA